ACTGTACAGCGAGTGTGATATGAGCTTTCTACATCTTTGGATTGGGGGGATTTGTTTCTGCTCCATACGGAGACTGGATGCGAGTTATTCAAACCCAAGTGGAAGGCACCCAAACTCTCCCGAATTCCCCTATTTCCTCCCAGACTCAGCACACATCCAAACTCACTTTTGCACCCTGGCTGCTCTCCAGCATTCCAGCTTGAAGACTCCCGAGCTAATTGTCCTTAAATACCAAACAATATGATGCACTTGGGCTCACATTAGCCCAGGAGCATCTGCTCAGCAGCTTCCAGGAACCAGATGGGAAGGGATGTCCTCGTTTAAAGGCTTCTGCTCACGGCTAACGGGGATTTCTTAGCTATGTGGTCACCGTCCTCATTTCAGGATGGGCCCAATGTCTCATTCTGAAAATCCTTCTGAGAATCTGCCCAGCACAAAGCCACTCATTCTGGGATGCTGAATCTGTATTCAGGCAATGCACAAGTAGGAAACTCAGTGATTTCCAGAGCTCTGACCTAGTCGGACAAAGGATTATTTGGGATTAAGATCAGAGTGGTTTTCATTGCTGCTCGTAGACACAAACCCACCCAGCTCCCACTGCTGATTGGGATGGCTTTTTGCCATTCCTCTTCCCATCTGTTGCTCGCTGGCTGTGCAGCTTCAGGCTGTGGGCTAAGCCTAAATGAAGGGAGGTATTTGGGTGCCTTAATTAAAATCAACTCAAAATCAACAGGAGCTCAGACACCCCAAGAGCTGGCAGAAGACTGAAGGTGCTGTGTGTGCCCACACGTACCATTCCAGCCAACAGTAGCACTCAGTTGGGGTCTGAGTCCACAGAGCACCCAGTTTAGGCAAGCACCCAACTCTAAGGCTTATTTTCAATCAGGAGATCAGTAATTATCAGCTTTGCTGCATGGGCACTGCCTAGAAAGGCATCAGTGTTGACCACATAAGTGGGTCAACTCTGTAGGAGTTTCACTGCTCCTTGGCTGCCCAAATGGTTCTGTTAAGACACAAATACTGCAAATGGTGTCACTTCCAACAGACCAAGATCTGGGCTGATCTGCAATCAAACGTCATCTTCATGATAAGAGCTCTGCATCAGGAGAGCACCTGTTGTGCTGCTGGAATAGCACCTGCTATGATGAGATAGAGGTTTTGGCATCACCTGGATTCCCCATTCATTCTCCTTTTGGGAGGTGTCAGAAGCAAGTAGAACAGCACAGCACCCAGTTGCATCTATGCCCGTGTTTATTTATACTGAACAGCTTTAAAAATACAGAATAAAATAGCTTTATCTACTATTATTCACAACATCTGGTCCAAATATTACATTTTTAAATATTTGTTTAATGAAGCGATGTTAGAAAAAAATACGAAATTAAAAAAAAACTCCATAAAAGAATTACACATCTCAGAACAACAAAAAAAGGGGGGAAAGGAGGGAAAAAAGGAAGAAAAACTCTCTTGCTTAACAAAGAAGTTTTACAGCCAAAGTCAGTCACAAAAAATCATGAGAAAGAAAGAAATATTTATCCCCACTGCCTAAGAACAGTCAATAGTTTGTTACGCCCAAGGTTGTCATAAAGAGACAAAGTACAATAATTTGGACTGGCAGCAAGATGGGTGACCTGGGAAGATGTAATAAATGCCAGATAATACACAAGGCAATTCTAAATATCTCTCTCATATCAATATGTATGGATGACAATGCACAGTCACAGTCGAATTAGAACTAGACAGGAATAGTTGGGATGTTTCTAAACACAGATCCCCAGTGCAGCCCAGCACTCAGCTGGATGGACTCATGGGCAGAAGCTGAACACTGGCAAACTTGTGGCCTCCTCCAATACTGTAATGACCTGCTGTAGCTAAGAAACATGAGAGCATTGAGTGTCTGTCATCCCATGCCCCAGAAAGGCCGTTGGCCTTGGCAAGGAATGGTACAAAACATGCCCCAAGTGGGACAGTTTGGGGAAAAAAGAAAACGTGACCCGCTTACTCAGGCAGATTCTGGTTTAAGAAGGCCACAAAGAAACACTGTGGGTTGTGCTGGTCTGTCACATGCATTTTCTACACTGATACACAAGCCGTGTTAAGCACAGGTTGTATTAGCTGGTGTAACATCCAATGGCTAACTGAAACCATTGGAAGCTGGCTGTTATAAACCATGCGTGCCTGCAGTGCTGTTTATACCACAAATGAACACCTTCCATCACGGACACACCACCGACTGTGGTATAAACAGCACTGAGGATTTCAGTTTGCAAGAGCCAATTCTGCACCGGGAGTACTGAGATCTCAGGAGGGAGATGAACAACAAAGAAACCCTTTAGTTTTTGGTAGGAACATAAAGATGGGTAAATAAAGTATACACAACTACTATAGATTCGTCAATGAAGAAATTCTACCATCACATGACATTGTCATGACAATCATACCACTCCCTCCCAGGAAAACTGCAGTCATTATCCTGAGTGGAAATGTTATTCTTAATATATGGAAATAAAATACTGCAATATTCATGTACAAACCAAGTTGTCATATTTCAAGTCAGTATTAAAAGGCATAAAGCAAATTCTGGGTATAAAGGTTGAACTTTCTGAGCGAGGTAACTGATCATGTCCCTCCGCCAACACATTCCAATATGACAACATTAATCAGTCATAGCTGAGCTCGCTATGAAACCTAAATCTCTATAGGTATAATTTGCACATACTTGCTTTAGAAAAACGTGTTTCAACATATTAGCAACAATCCTTAATTTAACCTTAAAAAAAAAAATACAAGATCAATTACAAAAGTCCAAAGTTATGTCCTTTTGCACACATTTTAAACCATCTCTGATATGACAAAATGATATTTCTACCATGAATATTTGCCCTTCCACCTCAACGTTTGGTCAGAACGTCTCACTGCCTCTTCACTCATCCACCAGGTGTTGTCTGCTGTAGGTAGCTTTGCTCAGCGCTGCGGTTTGAAAGGCAGGCAATCACAGACATGGGACAAACACACTACTGCATGTACAATCACATGTGTGATCCATACCCAGCGCCTCACGCACTGAAGCCCAGATGGAAGCAGCTGACACAAAAGATTTAAGTGCTTTTCAAACCAGCAGCAACTGCTGCACCGCAGCTCAACCTGCGCTCCTCCAGGTAAGGGCATTTCACACCAGCCACACTAAGACTCAAATGTAGAAAAGTGGACGTGGGAGGAATATTTAGGGTCCACGACTGCCTGCCACTTGCACAAAATGGGGGCAATTTCAGTGCTTCCCTCACAAAGGAAAGTAAGCATTGCATTGCACTGCATCTTCTTTGAGTGGCAGCCCTGGGACTGCTCCAGGTGCATCAGAAAGAGAAAGGGGAGCTTCTCTTTCCAAGGCAAGTTGCCTGTCAGCTCTGTTCTTTGCTTGCCTCAAAGCTCTACCGAGATGCATGCTTCAATATAAAGATCCAGGGTGCAGCAGCTGCATCAGAACCTTCCCTGCACATCCAGAGAAACACCACCAACACCACCATAACCTTTTGCTATACATTACACATGCTTCAGCAGATCTCCATTGCAAAACTGAGGCTCATCTCTCATCATTCTTATTTGTAGTAAGATTGACAGTGTCATTACACACAATACAAATCTGGTTACAAAAATGACTGCTAACTACGACTATTTATCTAAGTGTTACCGAGTTAAGTGGCTAGAAAAGCAAAGCATGCCAGCTAAATGCTACTGCACTTCTCAGCCAGTCCATAAAATCAGTATGGTAGAACCAAAAGCTGAGAAAGAATTAAACCCAAGTTAGATAGAGTCATCTGGTTTCACCTCTTTGGATAAGCCTGGCCCATGCCACTGGAGAGGGGTGGTGTTCTGCCCCAGGAAGAAGGAAAAAATCCTTGGATTCACTGCCTTAATTTAACCCACGTGTCACAAATCATCTTGGTAGTTCTTTCTGACATGCTCAAGTGAAGACAGTGCAGAACACAAAAAGCTTCACTCCATCCAAAGCTGAGAGAAGATCACTATTTCTCATCGCCTTGTCTCTTCAATGTGTAAGCATTCATATCTGGGGGGAAAGTTGAGCAAAGCCTCAGGACACAGCAACCACTGCTGTGCTCAGCTCCCAGGAGCATCACTAAGTGATGCACTTCAGCATTTAAGAGGTGGCAGTGCACTGAATACCAAACCTTTGCCTCTTTCAACATTTTTATGACAATCAACTTTGGCATTTTACGTGACAATGACCACCACACACAACTGGATTTTCCTTTGTTTCCTTGCCCATTTATTTTAACTCCTCCACCTCTCTCACACATCTTTGGTTGCACGTGAAGTTGGGAAATTTGGAAGTTCTGTGCCACTAATTACAAGTCTCCACATTCAAATCTATTTGTAAGTGGATGCGAAAATCTAACATCTCGCTACCTGTAGAGGAGAATTTCAAATGACAAAAATGACTTAGTTGTAAAGCCAAACCAACCTTGTCTATGACACAATAACTCTTCTGACTAGCCTTCAAGATAGACCGACTGACACAAAGACTGCAAACTACTGAAAGTTCCCTGAAGCAGGAACACATGCTTTGTTATGGAAAAAAAACCAGTATTATTTTATGTTTCTGGAAACAGCCATGACATGCTGAAAAAGGATGTCAATGGAACCATTCCAATCCTACACTACTCAGTACTGATCCATAAAGCTCCTTCCTTGCCCTCCCCACCCCAACCCATCCATGCTTCAATAACCAATAACAAACTCACGTGGAAGTAGACTCAGAAAGCAGAGTTCCTGCGCTCCTGTCCAGTAGTCAAACCTTGATAAATATATTAGTGAATTACAGGATCTACTGTTACGTCTCTCCAGGAACACAAAACGCAAGCACCGTAGAGCATACTGGCCTTGAAATTACATTACACTACATTTCCCTGATGATCTCCACAGCTTAAAAATGCTTTTGGGGCCACACCGAAGTCTAAAACTAACTTGCAATAGTAAGAACATTAAACATGAATGAAACTTTTAATTATGAATGCATGATGAGCATGAACACTCACATAACATCAGAGCTGAGACTATTCCAGGAAAAAAAAAATCTGAATGGTGCCCTGGTTGGACCCAATACCCGTTAAACCATTCAGTGGATGAGGACATCAAATGTAGTGTCTCTGCCATTCAAGATCACCTCTGTAGAAGTAGTGAGCTTTTACAGTAATCCCACAAAGAGGGAAAAAAAGAGAAGCAATGCAACAGAAGCCAATCATAGGCAGCACTGGATCTCAACATCCAAACAAGAAATTTTGCACAGATGCACACCAGTGAATGCTGGTTGCATTCTGTTCACATGCATACAGGTGTGAATCCCTCTGAACCACTTTTTTAGCCTTCTTGTTTAGGAAACATCTAGCTGCATACATTCATTTCACTGTCAGAACTGCTATCAGGTTCCACCTGGAAGTTAAGGCTCCCATCTCTATAAAAGTCAAGCTACATACATCCCTTTAAAGAAAACCTACTGCTGGACAGTAGTAGGTGGTTAAAAAGCCAAGCAGAAAATGGAAAAGTTTAAAAATGCAAACTGATACAACATGAGTGATTCTTTCTAAAGCAAGAAGCCAATAGAAGTCGTTCAGAGTTTTCACAGGCAGAGTTCTTATGGAAACTTCTGCCTTAAGGCTGGACATCTGACTGAACCATCAAGCCATCTGAAAAATACTCTTAGGATTTGCCAGTTTAAACTAAGTCTGGTTTCCAGGGAAACTATGGAATGTGCAAATCAGTGGTCAGAAACAAAATAGACGTGATTAGGATAATTAGAATTATTATTTTTTCCTTTTCACAGGATTCAGATTTTCTGGCATAACTAACACTGCCAGCAATGAGCGAGCCAAAAATGCCAGCATAAATGACTTAAATAAAATCACTATAAAAAGTAACATTCTCAATAGCACCTACATACTTCAGGAACCTAAGTCCCCTCTAAAATAAGCAGACTTGGGTACGCAGGTATCTATAGCTTTGGACAAAAGGAAGAAAAGAAATCCAACAGAGACACTATATCTGGCTACCACCACCCACAACAGGAAAGCTTTTTTTCTCGCTCTCTTTTTTTTTTTTTTTTAAATCTGTCTCAGCTCTGGTTCCAGAATTTAAATGCAGATATACAAAACATATATTTTAATGCTTCTTAATCAGCAAGAAACTGCAAATACATCTTTTACTACAACTACATAATATAGTTTCAACTAAGGCTATACTGTAGCTTCTGAGTCTTCATCTGAACTCCTGCAGTTACTGCTTTTTCTGAAGCCTTTCCATGTGTAACCCATGAAGGTAGGGCTGATGGGCAGGAAGCTGAAACACCTGTATTTTTTGATGAAGTTCATGCCAAAAGGCAGATCATATGTTTCCATGCCTTCCAGTGACTTGCTTCCTTTACCAACCCCTTTCTTCCATTTCCGTATTCCCCTTTCTTCAGGGCTTCCTAGAAGTAGAGAAATAAAATAAATAGGTACACATACACACACGTACCAGGAGGAAGAGCAGAAAGAAAACAAGCCTCAAGACTCAGGCACCTTTTCAGTAAAGCACTGGGAGAATCTTCTACGAAGAGGAAATAAAAATACTGGAAAACACAATTAGATATCTGGAAGTTGAGGCAAATTTTTGCTCTCAAAATGGAATATTTTGAATCCCAAAATATTTTTGCTGTGTCTTCTGGAGCAGGCTCTGGACTGGGCTCTGACCCAGCTGTGGATGTCCCTGATCACTGCAGGGGAGTTGGACTAGATGACCTTTAAAGGTCCCTTCCAACTCTAAGGATTCTATAATACGCGTCTTTTGGCCTGTTTTTTTTCTTTGCTATTTTATGTTTTTAAAGAAAATGGAAATCTTAACTTGAAAAGGGATCAAAGCATTATCAAAGAATCTGAGGCATACAGGAATGAAGTACCCTGCTCCAGAAAAATCAACAAAAGCAGCAGCATTTACCTCCTCATCTCCTGTCTCCCTCCCTGAAATGCTGTGCTATCACCATTCAGAGAAGCAGTCCCTACTGCAGGTAAAACAACAGTTCACACTGACCTGGAATGGTATTATCCAAAATAAACGCAACACAGCCACCAACAAACATGGCTGTAGTAAGAAGAACATTCAATACTTGATCGATGCCTGCTATTCCTAGAACAGAAAAGAAAAATAATTTATTGTTTGCTTGAACTTTAATCACACATAAGCACATTCTATTGATTTACAAGGGAAAACTGCTACCGAGTTCAGTGAGGAATTTGCTCAATCTTCCACTGAAGAGCACTGTATTAATATTGTAATCTCTTTGCTTGAATGACCTACTTTTCTATGCAAACTAAAAAAGGTTAGCTATGCTCTTAAATCTAGTTCTGAACTGACAGCTGTAAGAAAACCTTTTATTTTCAAAATCATTTTCAGTACCCCTCTACAGAGCCTTCCTTTCATGACATTCACTATCAAAAGCAACAGTCTGAAATTGAGCGCATTAAAATTCAGATTCCACTCACATCCAGAGTGACAAGAAAAGCTGAAAAACGAAAACAAACTCCTAGTTTTCAAGTCCAACTCAGTACTTCCACCTGTTCTTTCAATACTTTTCATAACTCAGGTTCACCTTTGCAGCCCCTCCTTCAGTCCAGCTGGCAATGGTGTCCTAGCATTGTTCTGCAGTCCCCAGAAAAGCAGGACAACTTGAGATGTACCCCACCAAAACACTCAACTCCAATCTCAACATCCAAATTAATTTTCCGCTGAACACACCTGTCTTCTCACCAATAGCTTTTACTGCCTCCATAATAAGTTGGATTTCTTCTTATTTACTTAGTAGGGACTTCATGTATAAAAACAGGAACACATACCTGTCACCAGTGGATTCTGTTTGAGATAGCTCGGAAGGACAAGTCCAAAGAAAATGGAAAATCCAAGTACAAACAGGTTGCGAGAAGAATTTAGATCTATGAACTGGAGGTTAGACAGACCCACAGCTGTAATCATCCCTAAATAAAAACAGCACAAGTCTCACTCTTTAGGCTTTTTTCCCTTAAAATAATAAGAAGATAGCAACACAAATGCAGCCCTGGAGTAAAAAGATGCTGCCATAGAATACATGAAGAGGAGCAAGAAACATACGTTACCAAAGAGAGTGCAGAAGAGGGCACCAAGCACGGGGTCAGGCAGGGATGCAAACAGAGCACTGAATTTGCCAACCATCCCAAGCAAAAGCATGAAAGCTGCTCCATACTGAATAACCCTGCGGCTTCCAACCTGCAGGAGAACAAAAAGGAAAGGCAAAAAGTCTACACTTTATCCATCTTCATCCTTTGCGTTTTATTATTTATTTTCACATTCAAACTTCCACATAATTTTTGCAGAGCATCTGCAGAACCTTTACAAACACCTCAGACTCAGCTGTAACATGACTGCAGTCCATTTCTAACATAACTAAGTTTGCTTTAATTAGCTTTAACAAAACCATCTGTATGTGCTGCAGTCACTGCAACCACGTGGCATGGTCCCATCCACAATACAGAAAATAAGTAGACCATAACTAAGAGAGATTATAAACAAATCAGCAGCAACACAAGCAAAAAGAACTCATGTATTGCCACCCTTTTACATAGTAATACATATATTAATCATCTTTCATGCAATTCACTTGAAGGAGATACAACCTTTCTGGACAGATTATTAAGAGATTTTATAACATCCCTCTGAGATCAAAACTGAATGCACTTCAGATGCAAATCATGGCTGTGCTAATGCTAAAACCAAGTGTCTGCACTTCCTTCCCTTTTCTATTTTAAGCATCCAGACATCAGGGCAGTTGCTCTCTGGCACCATGTTGTAATTGCAATTGATTAATCTGAACGTTCAACATTTATGCTGTGTAACACTATTAAAGAGGTCCACTAGGAACAAAAAATAAAAACAAAAACATTATACTCATACAGCAGTTTCTAGCATGAGTTAATAAGTTAATGAGTTAAATCTATACAAGTTAGCCTGCAACTTTCCCAATTTATGTGTAAATAATACATTCTTCTCCTTATGAGCACCAACACTTTGGTCTAAAACTACCTTGCTGTACGAAATAACCAGATGCCAAATAAATTAAACTTCACATGAGATTTGAAAGTAACTGAAAGCATCTTGGTCAGCATCTAGCTTAAACTATGTATTTACTTTAGGCACTTGTATACATGCTAAGAGATTGTTTTGGAAAGTATGAGTAAGGATATGGTACCTTAAAGATGTAACCACATCACTGACATTACAGCATAAGCTAGTTATAATTTTGGCCTAACAATTGAGTTTTAATCAGTCACCCTCTCATCTTTTACAACTCAAAGGCTTTGCTGTCTTTCCATCCAGTTGAAGCCTCGAATTTAAAATTCTAAATACAACCAATACTAATTTCAAGGCAGGTATATGCCTTTTCAAGAGTTGCAGTGGCATAATGGGATCACTATAATTATTTAGAGACTTTGCTCATGAGCACTGAAGATTGCCTTTTACAACTAACAGCAGAATATCTAAGTTGTACAGATTGATTCTAATATAGATTGAAGTTGCAAAGCTATTTGGATTTTTTTTGGGACAAACACTCAGACAGCAAAACAGGGCAAAACACTGGAGCACAGCCATCCAAGCTGTGCCACTCTAGATAAGGCACATTCAACTCTTCCATTATACTCTCTGAACAAACCTAATTGTACTTAACTCTGTTCTCTGTTTCAAAAGAAAATGAATACTCATTCCTGCACCCTTAATAAAAAATATTTGTTAATTCATGGAACTACGAAGTGAGCAACAGAAAGGACAGAACAAAATAAACCTTTCTCTAAGGATTTTTCTAGCAAATTTCTTCTAGGAAATTTCCACCAACTGAAAGGAGGACTTAAACAGACAGCAGATGGTGCTATTAGTATTTATATTCCATTGCAAAAGCAAACAGAGCCATCCTTTGTGTAGAAGAAAAAATATGGCCGATGATAAATCCATCATCTATATTGGATTAAGTTGGGGAAGAGTTATTTCAAGAGGAGCACATACATTCCGTACCTTGCTTGCATGAAGTAGATTTATAGGTCCCAAGCCAAACACACAACAGGATGTACGTAGTTACAACGTAAACTGCTCTTACTGATTTTGCTGATATTTCTTAACAAGGTTAAATTAACAGTGTCAAGCAGATCCATCTGCAGCCCAAGGTCCCCCAGTTCAGCAAAGCACTCAACCACCCATCCAGTTCAGTACGTAAACAAAGGAATTCCTCAACTGCTTACATATTTTGCTGAGTGACACTCCCCCCAAAATGTAATCCCTTAATCATGCTCAGTAATTTATAAACATATCACAATAAAGACATTTTAACTTTGAAGTTACCTTGACTGCAGTTCCTGCTCTAGCTCTGTCAATGTAACATCCTAGTACAGATGTAGACAAGACCCAAGGATTGCAACTTATATTTCATTGTGTCAAAATGAGACACTGAGAACAGTTCTGTAGCAATGTTTTCACAGCTAAGAGATCCAAAGGAATATCAATTTCTATGCAGTTTACAGTGTCTATGCCTCAACTCAAGAACACTACAATCCTGGAATACTTTGCTGGTTTTCTAAAGGCTAGTTTATTTAGCATCATTTGCATTATGAACGTTTTTAAACTCCTCTTTACTTAGAATGAAAATAAGATTTTTGGCATCCTTTTCTAGAATGGATTTCTATTAGACAATGTCTGACGCTTAAGTTTAGAATACTGTATAAAGTTTAGTCTGCACAAAGTGTAGCTACAAAATATGAAAATAGCATAAGCCAACCACAAGAAGACAAAATAATACTCAAGTCACAGGCTGATTAAGGTAAAGAACATACCTTTGTGATGCCCAGGACACCAATGTTAGGGCTGGAAGAAGTGGATCCATTCCCTGTCCCAAATACTCCATCCAAAACACAGGAGAGACCCTCAATAAAAATTCCTCTGTAATTCAAAAACAGTAAATTGTCAAACCTGTATTAGTACAGACTCATTCAGATGGTACTTGTCGACTGCAGTCCTGTTTAAGGCATCTGTCCCACATGAATTACTGTAATTGACATTTCAACTTCCAATACCGCTGGAAAATCAACTTCTGTTCTGACTTTCTGTGCCTCAGATAATCACGTTCCTAAAACGAGGAAATTAAACTTATAGAATCATAGAATTGTTTTGGTTGGAAGGGACCTTCAAAGGTCATTTAGTCCAACTTCCCAGCATTGAAAGGGGACATCCACAGCTGATTACAGCTCAGAGCTCTGTCCAGCCTGACCCCGAATGTCTCCAAGGATGGGACATCCATCGCCTCTCTGGGCAACCCATGCCAGTGTCTCACTATCATTATAGTAAAAAACTATTTCCTTATATCCAATCTAAATCTCACCTCTTTTAGTTTGAAGCCATTTCCCCTTTTCCTATCACAACAGACTCTGCTAAAGAGTCTCCTTTCCTATAGGCCCCCTTTAAATACTGCAATGCTGCTCGCTCTCAGGTCTCCCCAGAGCCTCCTCTGCTCTGGGCTGAGCAGTTCCAACTCTCTCAACCTGTCCTCCTAGGAGAGGTGATCAAGAGTTCCCTCTCCAGTGAAACTGCATTATTTCTTAATTTCTATACATCCCAGTAGGAACGGGACTAAGTTTCCAATGGTACATTTGAATCAGAGTTGGACTTAGCTCTTCCATCTTTCATTTCACATCCTTGGCCCTTGTGTCTAACACACAACAGCAGAGCACAATCCTGTCTTGCCCCAGTGAAAAAAAACCATGACATAAGAAAATAGAATTGATACTCATTTTTCCCTTTTTCTTTTTTTGACATACCTGTTTATCGCATGAATAGGAGGAGGAGGAGCACAAGACAACCTGGCACAGGCATAGTAATCTCCTATTGATTCAATAATGCTAGCGACAACTGCACTAAGCATTCCTATAACTCCAGCAGCTGAAATTGTTGGCAGTCCCCACTGAACTGTGAAGAAAACAAAACTGAAATCTCTCATGCCACATAAAACAATTTAGATATCAAAACTTACAGCAACTTATTATTCTCTAATGGAATCAATGAACTTCCCTTCACAGTCACACAGCCTGCCAAGTTCAATTAGATTAAAGGAGCAAAGGAATAATCATCTAACCAACTGCTTTGATCATATCTGGGGGCTTTCCTCCTGCTCAGAAGGAATCTGAATTACTTATAGGGGAAAAAAAAACAATTCAGATCAGCGAGGCAAATGCCTCTTTATTATCGTTCCTCTGAAAACTAAGTCTTTGGTTATAAGTTTAGTCTATCAAACAAAGACAATGTCCAACAGCCAGCTATGATCACTGCACAAACAACTTCCAATTCTAAATTTTTGTACGAGGGAAAGTAAGATTAATTTAAGCCTGCAGAAAAGCTTGGCAGGTTTTCCACAGCCACTGCCTTGATGCTTTTATCTCATTGAAATAAAGAGTCTCTCACAACAAAAGGAACTTTTAAGTTACACAAACATGAAAGAAGGCAGCTTCACAAATAAGTAAGGTCTAATGAGGGTGGAAAAATTTTCTGCCTCTTCTTTCTCCAAAACCTTCTGTCATACATCTTGCAAGTAATGCTTTAGATGAGTTTTTTCCTAAGAACTAACCAGAAACAAAGCATATGAAAAACCACAGTAAAGACACTTCATTATGATGTACGGGCATTCATAACAATTTATATTACTCTATTCTGGAAGAGTATTATTCTGTTATGATTATGATAATTTCTGAGCAGCACAAGCACAAAACAGTGTGCAGCTCTATCTCAAGTCCTAAGAAAAAGCCTATAACAGCTTCAGACTTAAAGGTAGCTGGCAAAAGAATAAAATCAACCACGACACCACATAAAGCATTTTGCACTGTCTTTTATGCACTCTTCTGCACTTTCATAAGCATTGAATGGCATCATCCAGCCCAATTCTGGAAGTCAGATTATTTGCACAGCTGTCTAATAGCTTATTCAAAAACAGTTGCCTTGAGGGGCAGGGAAGTGTATTAAGTTGGAAAAACTCCAGGCACTAGTGATTCCGTTAACAATGAGAACAAGTAACTCCTGTAGAGAGCTACTGAAGTCACAATAACCCATCCTTACTATTGTAACATCAACTGCAGCTGGCCACAGTACTGACAAGTACAGATAAATCAACCATTCACCTAAAGCCCTATGTTAAATATACAGTCACATCCACGTTATTGGGAGTCAAGAGTTACTCAGATAAAATCTAGCAAAACTGATAATGGCAGGCTATCAAAAGAAAACGACCCTTACAACCAAACATACTTACAAGGATAAGGAACCTTGAACCATGGAGCTACTAAGAGCACTCCTCGTCGGGCATCTGTACGAGCATAGAAGCCATACTTGGAACTGTCAGGGGGGAACACATCTGTCACAGTAAAGATGAAGCAAAGCAACCACGACACCAAAATAGCTAAAATTATCTGCAAAAGAAGATAAAAAAGCTGTTTAAAAATCACCTATCATCATCAATATACATCAACAGCAAACAGTTTCTGCACAGAGTATCTACTGCACATGCATCTGAGTGCGATATTAAGTGATATTTTACATCTGAAGAAGCAGTAAATCCTGCAATAGATCTGCTGAGTATCTTTTACCTCTAGTGAAGGTGCTGTTACAGAAGCTTTAGATTACGTCTACTATCTTGCTAACATATGGAAAAGTCTCCAAATGGGCACTTATATGAGCTAGTGAATTAGTCTCATGAATTAGTCTCAATGTTAAGAGAAATAAAGGAAGCCTTTCACATGGGGAAACAGTGTTGCTTTCATAAAGCTAGAAGATAATGATCTTGTCATCCCTTTTTTCAGGACTCCGTTTATGCTTTCACTACATGCATAAACATATGTCCTTCTCTACCTCTTCCCTCCATCACCTTCACTGCTCCATCAGAGATGGATGCCAGAACGGGATCTGGCAAGACTACAATGAGACCATCTCCTATGGCAAATCAGCCATTGAGTTAAGTTTCCCATAACCACCTTCAAGCTTTTATCTCACCTTTGCCATCTACCACTAAGAAAAATCAAAATCAAGCAAAAAAGCCCCCAAACATTAAATTAGGGCCACTTCTGCCTGCAAAAGAATAAATTCAGCTACTTACAGGGAACATCTTAAAAAGCTGCAGTCTATATGCTGTCCATCCTTTTTTTGATTTGTAAATAGGTAAGGGAAATTTGACGTTTCTGGCATACTGAGAAAACAGCAATACGAGGAAAATAGTCCTGAGAAGGAACAACAAGAAAAGGAGAAGGATGGGACAAGAGAGATATGTCATTAGCACCGGTCTTTTAAAAATCCTTCTCCTGATAGTCTTTCAGGCTGCTCAGACTTCTATTTGAAGTGTACATTTTAAATTAGAGCGAGACAAAACACAATGAGAGAATTTGTTTTAAATAAACAATTATTTGGCATAATCCCATACGACATCATTTGCATTCAATTCTTAAGAACCCCAATGTTTGCTGCATATGTTACTAGAGTATGATTCTACGATGTGATTCTAGCTGTAGCACCAACAGAATAGAGCCCAAAAACCAAGATTCCAGTCAACTGCAGGTCAGCAGTATCCTAGTTCATTAAAGTTTTTAGATGCCTCAAGTGTTATACATTTCCCTGTTGTCAAAATTGCTAAGCTCCTCCGTATGTTAAAAATAATTTAAGTCTACAGCTAAAATAAGTACCCACTGCAATGTAAAATAAAAAGGAAGGAGGAGTTGATTCCGAAATAACCAAAAAGCGCTCTGCTGTAAAAAGGCTACAGAAAGAGTCAAGCTGTCTGAAGAAGCAAAGCTTTCCTGCAATTTGAGCTTATGTTTTCATCAGATTTATTAAGGGGAAAAAAAGAAGACGGAATTTAAGCATCCCTCCCTTTCCTATCCAGGATCAGTTTCAGCTTGCATGAAACAGAACAGAGCTTCATTTTCTCCCTAAATCTCCAGGAACAAAGAGCTCTGCACCACAAGGGCATCATTTACAGCCTTTCTCCATGACTGAAGTCAAATGATAAAGACACCTTTTCCCTTGCGTTCAGGAAATGCTTTGGCATTCCTCCAGAAGTCCATTACAGAAAGATGATGGACCCCACTCCCTAACAGTATGTCAGCCCTGAGGATAGACAGTTACCAGGATTTCTTTTGTTTTTGTTTTTTTTTTAAAAAAGGCTGCATTATTTAAGACAGTGAGGATACATGCACTGCATGGCATGAGGCTAAGCAGGACACAGAGACAAGACTTGAAAACTGAACTTTTCTTCACAAGCAGAGACAAATTGAGGAATACTTTCCCCTTTTAGAGATGGGCTGTATTTTATCACAAAATTATTTCAGACTGTAACCTACAGAACAAGGGGAACAAAATCATTCTGGAGACTGAAAATCCTGTCACATCACATCTGCAGCTAATGAAGGCAAACAGCTCTTACACAAATATTATTCCTTTGTGCTAGATAGTAATGCAGTCATTTTATTCCATCAGAACAGGCAAGACCATTTTCAGTGCCATATCTTGTAGAAATCAAGTTACTTTTGAGTGGCATGGAGTTATTTCCAGCTCTCTAGCACACATTTTGAATGACTGAAGCCAGAAATACTTATTGACTGTGCAGTATTTAAACCTTTCCTAAATGGATCTATTTTTTCCATCTGCAAAACGTCAACTGTCGTTATAGGTTCCCATGTCCAACTCAAAGGTCTATGTGATTGATACAACATCAGTCCCAACTAGCACAGAATTTGTTTTGCAGGAAAATAAATGCTCCTTTGGGTCAGCTGCTCAGCATAAGAGAATTACAAAAATATCCATAATGCTAACATTGGAGATAATGAATTAAACAGCCCTTTTAATCATAACCTGCACGTACAGAATACTTTACTTGGTCAAAGTACTGTGCTAACAGTTGTGTCAGATCACAGTCTGATCACATCAAGTCATTCCTTCCACTTCCAGAGCCAGGTTCAAAGCTGGTCACTATAGATTGGATATTTCAACTGCTTCAGCCAATTTCATGCTCCTTAGAGTGTGGTTTCCATCCCAATTTGGCTGCTTATCAACAGCATCTCACAGGAAACTTTTGTCTTCGCTTCATCTCATTTTTCCCAGCTATTCCCTTTTGTACTTCTAATCACATTTTGTTTGTTTACCTGGCATCTATACCTCTAGAAATATGCACAGCATGGCCTGAAAGTTGCTCTCCAAGTATTTCTGCCTGCTGAACAGCAGTCAGCCTACTTACACTTCAGTAACTGAAAGAATTCTTATAATTTAGAAAAGAATAATACAAGACACACTGAAGCTACCTCAGCTGTCCTCCAATACTGTCACATTCTTGTTTAATTTTATCTCTGAAATAGGTAAGTTTCAAATTCACTGTGAGATTGAAATAGCACTCACTGAAGCAACTTCAGAGTTTCCACAGAATGAAAATTAAGATAGAAAAGTAGAGGTAGGATGTAATAGCAAGAAGAAGAAGAAAAAAAAAAAAGCAGCTGTGTAGAAAAAGAAATCATATTCATCCCAAAAGTCCAATCAGTTTCCTCAGCAACTGGCATTCATGGAAATACGTATTCCGGCATCATATAAATTTTCTGGGGGTACGCAGAAATAAAATAGCAAAAATCAGAAATAGACAACTACTATCAAAGCCATTTGCTTGCTTTTGCCAAATAAGAAATGTGCAAAAGCATCAGTAAAAAAGAAATACAAGTTGCCCACTAGTTCCCACTGATGTTCTGCAGAATTGCTTTTAAGTTTGCACTGAATTAATGGACCCGTGACTCCCGGACAAACTATCGTTTCATAACATTCTGTTTCTACACCTCACCATCAGCCTCTTCTCCTTCCTCATCTCCCTGAGTTGCTGTGGTTTTTGCTCCCTAATTGCTTGCTGATCCCACCCAGACTCCTGCATGTTCTGCTTCTCCAAGCTGGGAGCACTGCCATGCTACTTCTGGCAGCCAAGCAGCTCAGGTTTCTCACTGGCACTCCAAAACACCTGTGATGACTTACCAGCTGGGACTCACTGGTCTACATCAGGAACACCCTGAGTACTTACAACATAGCAATGCCCCAGTGTTTGCCTGCTCTTTCTCCAGCTGCTTGGAAACCAGAGAGGCCGATGAGAGCAACAGTTGGTGTGATGGTCAGAGGTCCAATGTATCGCAGCAGGGCACCAGGAAGGCCAAGCAAACCAATCACCACTTCTATCAGTGAGGACATGATAATAGCACCTTGGATCTGAACACACAAGAATGGGAAGGAGACAGTTTAGTCGCATCTTAAAAGCAAAGCCAAAACATTTCTTTTTCTGCTCTGGATTACAAACTGCAGTTCAAAGAATTCAGTGACAAAGAAGAACTCAGCATTATTTTTTTTTTTGTCATAAAACAGCTCATTAGGTTTAAGTGACTTATTGCTTAAGCATAACACTTATGGTTTTTCTCCACAAAACTATTACACAACAGACCAGTGGGCCAGTCTGGTAGTTGTGTGGATAGCACATCACACTGTCAGACAGGAGACCTGGGTTCCAGGCTAACCTTTAAGCTCTCAGATCGAGCCGGCAAGGGTTGGTGGCGCCACGGAGGTGATGCTCCTAGCTCCTAGGGGCAGTGTATGCTGCATTGTTCACAAGTGCTCCTTAGAAGCTGGTATAGAGCAGCGTTGTGGTCTCAGGAGACTGTCAGCCCTCTTGGCTGCAGGGCTCTTGGCAGGATGTAGCTATGGTTTGAACATGGGGAAGAGAGAGGGGTTGTTTTTAATTAAGAAAAAGTGTGCAGCCCAAAGCAACGGGATGGGAGATAAATTCCATGACACACGCCTTGATTTGGACTACACTATCTACCACTGTAGTGGGATGCCTGGGCACAACCCTCACTGTGGAGCCCAGTAAATGATGAGGTTCAGACTGCAATGCTGCAAGTGGAGAAGGAGTTTGATATACTTCAGCAAATCTTTTGGGAGAATCCAGGTCTTATCAGAAGTCTCCAACTTCAAACACCTGGGGATGAACACATTTGCTAACTGTATTTTACCTTCCACAGGACAGCCTACTGACCAGAGTGAGCAGGCAAGTGGTCTGCGAGCAGCTGATGGTTTGCTGAGCTGCTACTGGTGAGTGCAAACTGCAAGTGTTACAAGAACAGTATTCATCTCACTTGTGCATTTTACTGCATATCTTTTGGAATGTGACAACTAACTCATCATATTTGCTGTTCAGCGATGAACAAGTTGAAAAAAAATTAAGACTTCCATAGAATGAGTATAGGGATATATTCAAATGAAATTGTAGTGAAAGAAGAAATCAGCAACATAACAATGAAAATACACAGATGGTTAAATGAGAAACTTAACTGAAATCGGACAGATTAACTGCAAAAGGCTACTCCTACATTACCTCTCTTATTCTGGGATACCAGATGTGCTCAGTGTGAAGCAGTTCTGTTGTTCCATTTGTAACTGTTATATCTTACCAAAAGAAGAAAAGACAAAACACATATTTATTCCTCAGTTTGTTTGCCATCATTTAATAAAAAAATTTCCCTTAGACACAGCTTAACAAAAGATCTTTGATTTACATTAAAAAAAATTCTGCAAAGCTATAAATCTTGTAATAACGTGTAAACATTTCCCAAGAGCTAACCCACTAATTTTACCCAGTGTACTGAAGCAGAAAAAAAAATTACCATTTTCAGAAATGAAGGTTTTTTAAAGACTCTTCCCACTCAAATAAGCAAATGAATGGAGAATTACTCAATTGCTGGGAATCAAGGAAGCACCCCAATGTTTGCTGTTAGCCAATTTAGGTCACTCACTGAACAATGAACTGACCCCATGGTAACAGCCCTATCTGACAATATCTGAAGGTTAAAGGGTTTAAGAGTAAGATGCAGCAAAGGTTCTTTCTGAAAAGCTCAAGTAGTGGAAAAATTGCTTTGGCAATCAAATGTTATCTACTGGACAGTATTTTCTCTCAACCAGGTATGTATCAGGATTGTGGCATTGTGGCACATTTTGTCATCTAGAAGTATCTGACACAGGTATGAGAACCGGTATGAAATACACCACAGTATGCCTTTACATTTTAAGCACTGAAGCCCATGTGCTCTTTCCCAGTAGCTTAATCTTCTCAATATCAAAGGATTTATATGTGTGACCAAAGCAGAAATTATAACTGGATGTTAACCCTAGCAAACAGAAGTTTTCTTCTAACAAGGCCTTAATGGCTCTCTTAAATTTTGCATCTTCCATTTAATTCACATATAAAACAAGTAGATTAGACATGGACATAAAGGAATGAAAGCCAGAAATCTACAGGGGCACTTTTAGAAATCTTCTAAAGCAAGGTTTTAACCTTGTAAAAGGAGTTCATTTTCTATATCCCCTGCTCATTACTTGCAGTTTCCATATCAAAAGATTCAGCAGTTGCTCTATATGACATCTGGGTCATTTGCCACTTAAATGAGAACAAGCATAAATGACAATTACCTGTATTATTACATTTCCACTTCTCCAGGGAGAGTATTGCTCTAGCAGGTGCTAAGAATGCAAAAGCACTCGCCTGGAACAAGGGTAACCTGGTGGAAAGTGAAAGAAGAGATGCTAATGCTACTCCATGTCATGGTATTGTGTCAAGGTATCAATTGCAGTTAGGTGCTTATTCATCCTCAAAACCATCCTGTATCAGATGGCTGCCACAAATGTGAAATATGAGAATTTCTTATTAAAAAGAACATAGAAATGCTAAGACAGCACCAAAAGAAAGTCCTAACAAAAGATGCTACGTATGTGAAGTTAACAAGATGCCTGTAACAGATAATTACTGGATGCTGACTGCAGGTACCAGACGTTGCTTTAAGTTTTTGACTCAGTATCACAACAAGGATGAGGATGCATGCTGTGATGTAAGCACCAGTCAGGGTGCTGCACACTCAGCTTTCACAGTCTCACCACATTAAAGAGCCTTCTGATAGAGGTAAGCAGTCTGCGTACTCAGTACCTTCCCACTGCATGACTTGAAATGGAGTCATTTACAGATTCATCTTTAAGTATATGTGTAAACAACAATTAGGCTGCTAAGTGCTGATTAGATGTACCAGGTGGCTATAACAATAAATACAAATGTTGCAAGAATTTCAAGATGACATTCTTAGCAGTGGTGTTTACACTTCCCAAAAGGTTTAATATCTGAAGAGCATCTACCAGCACCAACTACGTATTTATTGAATGTACGGTAGCATGCATAGCATTACAAATATTCAGATGTTACTTAACTACAAAGAAGATGCACTTTGACCTATTCTATAAATACCAATGGATTGTAACTCTTCAATAGCAGATCTCAAACATACCACGTGAAACAGTTGCACATGCAGCACTAGGAACTGAACTGCATTTATGGCTGTTTTACAGCCACAGTCAAGTGCCTTGATGTCAGTACAAGTATTAGTAAAGGAAAGAGAACTGACTGTAGCAGATTCAGATTATGATCAAAAAAGTACAAGGAGAAGAAAAAAAAGAAATTTGCTTAAGAGAGGAAAGTTCAAAACTGAAACATATTACTAACAGCAGCTGTAGAAGTTCACAAGCAGGAAGTCAGAACATATGACCTATTTATTATAGAAAGGAGTTTGAGCCATGAGCAATCTAACAAGTCAACCCATCTGCTGAAAACTTCGAGAGTTGAGTTTGAAAGTCACTCATTATAAAATACATGAGCCACTTGAGGACAACTGACCTGCACACAATTCCCTTTTACCTTTCTCTGGCAAAAATCAAAGCTTTGGGGAAGAAGCAGAAGCAGCTATGAGTGAATGATTCACCTCATTTTTCAAGGTTCATTGGGCAAACTGAGCAAGCTGGTGCCCATGGCATAACATGTAATACCTCTTAACAAGCTGTTACTCCTCTGTCCCACCTACACAGTACTCTGTCCCTGCATAATGATTTTGTAAACGCACTTTGCAAGAACATTCTCCAGTGATGAAGTCAGTCACACTGAGACAAGTCTGGGTTGTGAGTTTTCTATGACATAAAACACCCTCTGGAAGCCTTGCACAACCTTCACTGGTGGCACACTTACAGGACACAAATTGCTGTGGGCATTCAGACTGAGAATTATCCTTTCAAAGATAATAAAACCACACAATAATAAAATAATTAAGGTTGCAACATACCTTCAAGATCATCACGTCCAATCGTCAATTCTACCTAATGAGTCCCACCACCAAACCACATTTCTTAATGCCACGTCTCAAATACCCGCAGGAATGGCAACCCCACCACTTCCCCAGGCAGCCTGCTCCACAAAGAGTGGTTAGGCATTGAAGAAATTCTTCCTGATATCCAGTGTAGCCCTCCTCTGGCACAAGCTGAGACCACTTCCTTGCGTGCTACCACTTGTCTAATTTCTCAAGTGACAACATCCATCCCTCTACACGTCCTTTTCCAGATAGCTGTAGAGAGCGTGCTCCCATCCTCTTGATATTCACGCCCTTTAGATATTTGTGAACGTTGATAAGATTCCCTCTCAGTCTCCTCCAAGCTAAAAAGTCCCAGGTCTCTCAATCTTTCCTCATAACAGAGGTGCTTCAGGCCCTTAATCACCTTTGGAGCCCTCTGCTGGATTCTTTCCAGTAGTTCCTTGTCTTTCTCAAACACAGGAGCCCAGAACCGGGCTTTGCTGAATGCCGTACAAATGGACACAGCCCACTGATCTGGCAATTGGGAACCTCCTGCAGAACCTTCCCATCCTCAGCAGATCAACAGTCCCACCCAACTTGGTATGGTCCACAAACTTAGTGGGTACACCTGATGATCCCTTCATCAGATTACTGATAAAAATATTAATTAAACTGAGCACCAGAAACAAATCATGGGGAACACACTGGTGACCAACCACCAACTGCATTAACTCCATTCATCATCATGACTCTGAGCCTGGCCAGCAAGCCCATTCTTCACCCAGATATTCACATTGCACAGATTCTTCCATCATCTTTAGCCAGTCTATTCTTAACTTCAGCTGTTTTGTCAAAACTGGGACCATCTGGTGCTTTTAAAAAACACGCTGGTATTTTTACTCTACCCAAATCCTCTTTGTAGACCTAGACTATTCACCTGGATAAAATTACATATTGCATTATATGGTCTTAGCAAGTCCTGCTAAGCTATCTGCTCAATCATCATGAAAGATGGTTAATCCAAAAACATTTACCAGAAGGGTCAGTGAGCTCAAAATGCTGTGCTTTTGTCTAAGCAGAAAATAACAGTTTCTATCTCTATCATTTTTTTAAAACATTACCCAAAATCAGCCAGCCACAACTAGTATCTTTCTGAAGAGACAGTTGTAGTTTGGAACGTGTTTTATGAAATAGCCTTACCATTGCTAATTCAGGCATTCATTACTAGCTAAGTACCACCAGCCTGCTATTGGAATATCATGGCTATACTGTTGAGTTGCTCAATTTTGGCAGCAGCAACTTGTGAAGATGGAGCTATTTATGAAGCTGAAGTCATTTGGAAGCTTCTTCATCATATCAACATTTCACACAGGTGCAGGAACGCTTAGACAACACAGTGATGGGCACAGCAATAAGCCTAAACTGTTTAGATATTAAAGCTGTATGTGATTATTTCAGTCATATTGACTGCTCTGAATCCTTGCAAAATCTTTCGGCTTATTAGGAAATCCAATAAATAGCTTGAATTCCTAAAAACTATTATGGGTACCAGACTGCCCACAACTCTCCCTCATAATGGAGCCAAATGAACCTTCAAACCACAGAATTTGTCCTTCTGAAACCATGCTGGCTTTATTTGCTGAAATACTTTACAACTGACATGCTTGCCAATAAATACTTGAAAATCTCATTTAGTGAATATTGCTGCTTTATCTCAGCCCCACCCTTATATAAAACCAGAATCACATGTTAAATCATTACAAAACATTTAGCCACTGGAATTTTCTTCTCAAATAGAAGACCCAACACAATTACCTCTTCAGTTTATACATACATCTTTCACAGGGCAAGTGAAAAGGGCACTGAAAAGGAAAACCACAGAGGGCAAACACTGGATTATATGGGAGAAACAGAACATTTCGAACTGATGGGACCATACCTATTTTTGAAAGAGCCACAAACCTTTCTATAGCAAGTAATAAAGACATGAAGCCCAAGATTAGTTAGAGAAAAAAAGAAAGACGACAAGCTTGAGATCTGTGAAGACATACCAGTCTCTGGAAATATAGAAAGTAAGGTTCTTCTGATAAATTCGAGGCAGAAGAAGAAATCCATTAGGTACAGAGGAGAACCAAGCTCTCTTCTGCATTAATATCCATTCACAACTCTGTATTTGTCCAGAAAATATGGAGACTTTCAACTTCAATAAGCCCAGGAAGCAGACACTCAAAGATGAAAAACAGAAGACCTTATCTCCTAATGAGGTCAATGATCTCTTCATTTCTTACATAAAGCACAAACTGGAGTGGGAAAAAACATCCCTAATATAAGTGAGGTCGATCAGGTTCAGAATACCAAAAGGCACTGAACACTGCTCCTCTGCTTCCTTTCAGATGTGGTACTTGAGAATTTATGATTACAGCTAAAGTGAGCTAACTTAGAAGCACAAAGAGCCAATCAGGCAGAAAAATGATTAGTCTTGACATAAAGAAAATACACTGGGGAAAGAAACTGTTCTCTTTCAACAGTTTCAATTATACCGTTCTGTCATCGGAACGAGCACTTCATTAAAAAAATACAGATTTTCTACATTTAACAAAATGTAATAAAAACAAAGAAAAGATTCCTTTTCAAAGTCAAAAGACGAGAAAGTATGTAAGCAATGTATCTTCTCAAACTAAAACATCACTGAAGATTACATTAGAAAAGCTGAAATACTTGAAAAAGTGTTGGATAAGAGCTGATCTCAATATACAACAGACTTTTATTTCTGCACCCCACTGAGATAACTTTTCCACCCAAAGATTCTGTTTCTAAGATAAATCTTTCTAAACGTGAGGAAAACGTTAAAAAACCCAAGGAAAACATCAGAATTAATTCTTCTTTACAAAGATGTGTGAATTTTTCCTTCTCTTCCAAAACAGCTTTACCTTCTGTTCTCAAAGATTTCTCTTTTCTATTCCTTTTCCACATGCTGGACTTTCTCACCCGTGAAATATATTTTCTGATTTCAGATCCACCTTTAATTACGATAAGTTTTCCAAAGATTTTAATAAGTAGTTCATGAATAGGGGACAGTTATCTTGTATTTAGTGTTTTTCCTTTGGAAAAAAGACTGCTTCTTGGATCTCTACCTACATCCTGGAAAATCTTATAATCACCATCTCCACCAACTGGAAACAAGTCTCAAACCTCACCTGCATCCAAAAGTTGTTTGTAACAATGTAGTGATGCCCACACAGAAGAAAATGGTCCCAATCAACTGGCTGGTGGCCCACTGGTCAAATCCAACACACATGGCATCAGCTAGCAAAAAGGGAACTGCTATAGTTCCACTGAAACATGTTAAATAGTGCTGTGAACAACAACAAAATATATGTTAATACATCAGACTTTTTTTTTTTTTTTTTTTTTAAGTTTATGACCATTTTTTTCTTTTCCACTGGATATTTTTGCTTTTGCATTATCTATCAAATGACTCATTTTTTGGTTCCAAAGCATTTCTTCAAGTATTTGCTTCCATGTGAAGCTACCACTAGCCCACTGCTAATGATCGCTAATTTATTTACATAGCTGCACTGCTACTGTTCTTGTTGAGGAAGTATTTAGATAACTGCTGAAAACAACTTTCAACTCAGAAAAGCAGATGAACAACTTCATTCATTTTCAACCATGTGAAAAACCAATAGCTTACAAATGAATTTAAAGCACATATAAAGTAGGATGCAAATAAGCTTCCAAGTATCAGAAAATAGGTTCTCATTAATTCCTTCCCAATCTAAATATGTTAAGCAAACAAATAAATAGGTGTCACCATATTCAACAATAATCCTTACAGAACTGCTTGCCCTTGAAGAAAAGGCAGAAGTAAAAAAGATGCTTTGGAATGTATTTGTTTGGAGATCTCAACATACTTTACAGATATTAACAAATTCTCAGCATTCCTGTGGGATAGATTTTATTACCATTCAAGAAGGAAGCGAGATGAAAAGAGCTGTGCTTCACGTAAGTGAGTGGCTGGCTAGAAGTACAGTCCAGCTCACCACTACAATCACAGCTGCAAGATGCACACACATTCTATCCAAGAGCAGTGACAGAATTTGCCCACCCTGCTTATTACTAAGTCTGCAGGTAATTACTGCAGGATGGTGCTATCAAGTTTGCAGAATAGAAACCACTAAGTATCAGGTTAATATTCAAGGTTTTAGCAGTAAACAATTATCTGCCATCATCATTAATTCTAGAGGTATGAAGTGTCAGTTTCTGAACTTTATTTGCTAACTTACTTCCTACCTAACAACAGCTTAGAATAATAAATATTTAAGTGAATCTCACTAATAACTAAGCCAGCAATAATATAGGTCATTATTAACATAGTAAACTTACTGTGTGATCAACTTCAGAAGAAACTATCTTAACAGCTTTTCAAATGTGTGAGAGTGTGGGAAGAATCAAATTATCACATACACAAAATGCTAAAAAAAATCCCAGAGGAAAAAAGAATAGCTGCTTTGAAACATACCTGTAACCCCAAAAATATGCAGAGATACCACGGAGGAACATCCTCAATAGTGTAAATCATATCAGTTCTCTGAGCATCTAAACTGCCAGTGCTGTCCAGTGTCTCTGCCAAAGAACTCTATCAAATGGGAGAGGGTAGAAAGGTGGAGGAGGACACAAAACACAACAAAGGTTAATATTACATAGGAATGATCTGAATTTGAACTATCAGGCAATTCCCAAATGCTGCAAGTCTGGTGTAATAATCCCAAGCAACATCTGTATGTTGCATTTACAGAAACCTTCTACCTTTGTTGATGGGCTCATCTTCAACTCCGGCTACACAAATTGCACTGAACAAATCACGTGTATAAACCATTTCCTGTTTATTTATACTACAACAACAGTTCATTTATGGTACAACCAATCTGGCAGCCACACAGTGTCCCAAAATACTATGTTATTAAAAAAAAAAAAAAAGAAGAAGAAAAATGAAGAATTGGAACTAAGAAAAAGAATCAACAATGGCAATCTGCAAAGTCAAACAGCCCCTTTGCATAAGAGGCCTAAATCACAGGCAAGGAAGTTTCCTCATTAGGGTAGCATGGAAGCTGCTTCCCAGCTTAACTCTTACCCAGTTTGAATCTTGGTTAACCATTTTTTAGCCATTAGATAGCTTTCTTTCCCCCATCCCACATTCAAGAATACATGAAAAAATCCTAATTGTTGAAACTGAATACATATATGGTCACTTTGTATGCAAACCTACAGGAGTTTAAGTGAGACCACACTGGGTCCTTCCATGGGCCCTAATACAAAGTTAACAGAACATTGATCAAACCTACCCAGGCTCTAAAATCCTCACATATATTCCATTAAAACAAGATTCAGCACAACCACTTCTTGTTTACAACTAAGTGGAATTGTTTACAACTCTCAGCTTTCCAATTCCTGAGAAACAAAATACAAATGCTTCAGAGCATTAAGAACCAACAACAAAAGTAGAAGGAAATATCAGATTTCATTATTTCAGCTCAGCTATCCAAAACCTACATTATGTAACTACTCTTCTGACCTAATCCACACTTGAACTTGATCTCACATGAAGCAGCCTTACAGAACAGGCAGCACTTTTGCCAGACTTGTGACTTCGCTTCGTATGGCCTTTACTTCTTCAAAATCACAACACATATACAGACCACTCTTAGATAATCTCCACTTTGCTTATCACCTACAAGGTGAGGGAAGCCAAATGGACCTATGGCGTTTCCCTTTTATCTAGCACTGGGTAATTACATCAATTCAAATTCAGAGAGTATAAACCATCATATTCCTAAGGAAAGACTAAGGTTATTACAGTAGAATATGAAATAGGAAAACAATGATTTCAAAAGACTTAAACAGTCTTAAGCACCAGGCATTCTGCTCACCAGCATTAAAAGTGTAGCTCTTGAACAGATCAGTAAGTACAACTGTTAATTTACCAGCTTGCAGCATCAATGTCATTTTTCATTGACCAAAAAGTGAAAGACTTCTCCCTTGACTGAGTTCTCTAAAAAACTATAATAAAAAAAAGTTATGAAGTTAAGTTTTAGAGCTTCATCTCATACTGAAGGGAGCGGCTGTAAACCTGTGCATGTCTCTTCTCTTACAGGAACTTCAGAAAAACTTGTATATCCCATGTCAACTTAAGTATGCATAAATCCAAGGTACAGTACAAAGAGGCTGAGCCACAAAGATACGCAGAAAGATTTGGAAGCTGATAAAAGTCACTGAGAAATGTCAGATTCACCTGGAGAACATCCTGTGATACACTTCTGTCATTATAAAGCAGCATGGTGAAGCATTCCCTAATAAATACATGTACATGTGCACAAACATATTTTTATGTGAGTATAATTGCCTCCCCTCCCCTCTGCTTCACTGTAACATATGCACAACCTGAGAACTCTGCTAACCAGAGGAACTGTAATTTATTCTACAAAAAGACGGTCACACACTTTCAAAGAGGCACAGGCCATGAAAGAAGAGCAAGAACTGTTATAAAATCTACCCATGAGGTCAGAATACAGAAGAACCAGCAGAAAACTCTTTGTTTCACAAAACACATTGGCATTAACTTGCTGAAGCCACCAAAAGAGGCAATCACATTTTTCCTCAAATGACTGATGAGGTTCTATCTAGTACAACCCTTTACTTTGTCAACTGCCCATCTAATCCACAGAATATTTCCCTTCTTCTTAGGGCAACTGAAATCAGAAACAATGACCTGTTTCTACCTGTGAGACCATGACACATCCTTCAAGCTTACTAAGTCTTTTTAGAGCTTTTCATTTTTGTTTACGTTTATGCCTACATTTGTCTGCAAAGAAAAGGTTCAGTGGGCACTTGGCTTAGAAACAAGCCAACTGGTTTGCATAAAGCTCTCCAGACATACTGACAATTGGCAACAACTTTAAGGTTTTGAGAGCAAACTTTCTAGCTCTTGTAACAAAAGCATTTTAGCAGAGTATCCTGAGAATCCATGAGAGCTGGCTGATTTTCAATAACCATCTTTAAAAGCCCAGGAGCAGGTAATCCCACTGCGCTCCAAGTTATGCAAGCAGGGTAGAAAACCAGCCTGGCTGAAAAGGGAACTCCTCCTGGAAAAAGGCAAAAAGATACGTGATCCCTGGAAACAAGGTCAGGTTTCAAAGGAGTGATTACAGAGCTGCAGTTTGCACCTGCAGGAAGAAAATAAGAAAAGCTGAAGTTCAACTTAAGCTGACAGTGGTCACTGTGCTGTCAGACAACAAAAAAGGCTTCAAGGGAAGGTCTATGGAAAAACACTGGACTTATGCCTGGTGAAGCCATTCACCCAACGAGTGAAGATGAGGAAAAGGCAGAAGAATGTAAAGTCTCAGTTTTTTAATATTAATGACAGAGCTTGGGCTCCAAACTGGAGGATCATTACTGGGACTCTCAGCAACTTTCTATTTGTGGTCACCAAAACTGTAAGGAAATCATTTTAATCAGCTCCATGGTCTGAAGTGCATGGGGTCTGACAGGACCTACTCCAGAGTGCTGAAGGAATTAGCAGACGTTACACCTAATGATCACTCTGAACAATTTACCAAAGGTGCTGGGAGCCTGGGAAGATTCCTGCTGATTAGGGTTAGCCAATTTTACAGTCATCTACAAACAGAGAATTAAACACAGCATGGCCAACTGGTCCAAGGAGATGATTCTCCTGCAGTATTTCACATTGGTGCAGTCTCACCTTAAGTGTTGTGTCAGTTCTGCACTCCACAACATAGAAAGGATGTTAAGTACCTGAACATGTCCAGAGGCGAGCAATAAACCGATAAAAGGACCAGAGGGCATGTTCTGTGATGAGTGGTTGCCTAGTTTAGAAAATTCTCAGAGGTGATCTCATTGTTCTCTACAACATCCCAAGGAAGGGAAATGAGGAGGTGCCAGCCTCTTCTCCTTGGTAATCAGTAAAGCATATGGGAACAGCACAAGTCTGCATCAGGGGATGTTCAAAATACAGATAAAGAAAAGATGCCCCATACTTGTGTACAAGAAGCATTTGGTCAATGCCTCAATAATATGCTTTAACTTTTGCTTGGCCCTGAAACACTCAGGCAATCACTGATGACTTCATAGGTCCCCTACACCTGAACTTTTCTCACTTTGAAGAAGAAATCTCATAGCAATGTCCTTCCCAAACAGCATAGTGATGGCACAGAAAGCCATTTAGGATACTTCTCCACTCTTCCAAAATCCAGATTTACTCTGCTTTGAACAAGAAAGCTTTCAACTTGATCAGAACTTCAGTGGTAATAGTTAAAGGGACTGGACATAAGAGACATCAAGACCAAACAATTAGGACAAGGTGTGGCTACCCAGATGATAAGTCACTGGGTAGTCACTGGCCATTTCATATCTCAAGCATGTGCCTGCTGGTTTCAGGTACTGACTACATGCTGGTGCTTGCCAAATGTGCCATAATATTATGCTTTAGGGAAGTGCCAGGAATAAGCTGAACCTTTCTGAATGAGATATTAATCAGAGATGAATTCATTTTTTAAATTTTTAACTGCCCATAAGTGGGACAACACAAATTGGAAAAAAACCAAACACAGAATAGTTATGTACAGGAAAAACAATGAGACAGAAAGGCAGAGCAAAAATGTTGGGAAATAACATAGAAACAAACAAACAAAAAAAAAAAAATCAAGGAAAAAATAATCATGCAAGATGAAGACATGAAGACTCTGTTATGAAGTATAACTGGAAAGGACCAAGAGAAAGCTGAGGAACTGCAAGGAAGAAGGGAAGAGCTGTCAAGATGTGACCATTATAATATCAGCATGATCGAGATGGTAACAGAAATGTGTATGAGACAGATGTCTGCATACAAAACAAGTGTAAGACACACCACGCACAATGCACGCTGCAGCATTCATACATTCTTTCAAGATGTAACACCACAAGATTTGCACCATAATAACCTGCCCAGGCTGTTTTAAAGTGAATTTTTGATGTCTGAGTTCGAAAACTAACTATACTATTTAAGATCATCCTTGTCCTAGAAGAAGCTAAGGTTAAGATAAACAAATGTCAAGATGCACTTACAAGGACCCAAAGGAGTTTTTCCTCTTGTTTCAATTTAGATATTAAAAAAAAAAAAACTGCCAAATTGAGGCTTCTCTGAAATAATGCTTAACCACAGAGCCAATTAGATAATAAACACTTGAGAAAAAAGTGCTTTTCTTATTTCCTGTAATCTTCTTCCTCTAAAGTTCCTATGATTCATACTGTCTCTGCTTGCACAATTATTATTAAACAGGATTGAAAAGCGATAGAATGGAAGAAGAAAGCTGAAAAGTCACAACCGAACTGGTCTCCAAATAGGAAAGAGACAAACACAGCTGCTCTAGGGTAAAAATCTTCAAGGGTCTTTATGAATGACACAATCTTCACTGATAAAAGCTGTCACGAAATAGTAAGAAGCTTCCAACTTAATTAGAAAATTAAATCCATTAGGTTAGAGCTTGGAAGAAACTGGAAAAGATCCCACTTTCAAAGGTGCTCAACACCACTAGTTTGACGAAACACTGGAAAAATTAAGAACTGAAGAACAAAAGAAAAGAATCTTAGCAAGGAAATCACATAAAAAGGCCAATGGAAATGAAGAGATGCAAAAGCCGCCTATGATGAAATTAGGTGGCAGGTCATAGCACATTAACTGCTCTAACACATGCTGAGTCATTCTCCAACTTCTGCAACTGAAACGTGTGACCAGAAGAATCATGAGGTCAAAACTCCCCCAGACCCCATCTGGATCTGCAAATCAGCAAATTCTATTAGAGAAAGAAAATCTCACAGCCAAGGAAAACTACTGTGAGCAAATAACAGCACTAAACAAGCAAGAATGAGTTCTTGTATAAAAGGAAACAACCAAATACCTTTTCTGCTATGCCATTTTCTGTAGTATAGATGGCCATCAACTCTGTGTCTTCTGTATCCTGATCACCACTCGATGTTGCTCCACCATTAATCACAACCTTAAAAATAAAACAGAGCAAAACAAAGAAGTGCTAAAATAAACATTTTCTCTGCAACAACAGCTCACACCAGCCATCTCCCCCCTGGCTTGCACTTAACAAGTGGCTTTGACATTTTGTCGGAAAAGGTAAGACACATGAGAAGCAGTTATTTCTCTAACAGCATGTCTAGGAACACACAAATTTGAAAGGCATCACGCAGAGCACTTTGAAGCCTAGACATGAAGGACGTAATGAAAATCTAATTAAGTAAAAGGTGATCAGCAGCTGTTGCTTTACTGCTGCCTGCTACTCTCGGGCAAGGAACATAGGGTACACTCCTCATGGGGGCTGGTGTGTTCTGCAGTATTACCATCAATTGTTCTAATCACAAACTGCCTGAGGAATTGCATGTCTTGCTTTGGAGCACACACAGGAAATAACTATGGACAACATAATTGGCTATGTTTACATATAAACAGAAACAAGTAGGAAAAGAGTTTTTACTAACTACTTACGGATGGTCAGGTTTCATGCGACACAGTTAGAACAAAGCACAACTGACTGAGTCACACAGAGCTCGAGAATGGAGTTCTGAACGTGTTACTTACAGGCAGAGTGAAAAAGGTGGGATGTTTGGATTCATCCTCATATTTGCCTTCTGTGGAGCCTCCTGCCTCCACTGATTTCGAAGTGGTATTCTTACCAATCCCCATTGTTTCCAGTATGTCATGGACTTGCATACAGGACCCAAGCGAATGTTTCTGGGTTGAAGGCCAGGCACTAACAGGACAGGTTCTTATTTAGACAACAGCAGCTCCAGGAATCACAGATATCTTCAGCAAACCAGCTGGGATATTCAGGCTGTTTACTTTAAGTACCGTTAGCACCTAGAATTAAAGACAGGATTTATTTTTTCCCCTCAATTATCTAAGTTAAATGCACAAACACAAGCCCTGCAGACATGGTTCCTTTTTGTGCTCATGACTCACTAACACTCAGCATTCCTTCTCTTGATTTGATAATGAGTAGATATCACTTAAAAATAAGGCTGATGGTATTTTAAGTTCTTTCCAGGATGGGACCACTGTGATTATTCTCTCATCCTTTACTTGTGGTCTTCAATTATTAGCAGCATATTTAAATTCCAGCTTTGTTTCTACTGCACAGTCATTTCTAAATGGGTTTTGGGGAACAAAGCAAGCCTGTACTTCACCAATGCAGAGATGCCAAACAGCCTGCTGTTCTACACCCATTGCAAACAATACTTGCACTCCTTCAAAGGATTTCAACTTGTAGACCTAATCATTACTTCACTTCTGAATAACTAAATTCTTCTTTTTAGAACAACATCTTTAAATACAGAGCATCCAGGAAGCTGAGATTAGAAGGACAGTGAAGCACTGAACCTATTTCTGCCTGTTACCCCAAATTATCCCAGTTTCTCGAGGGACTTTCAAAGTGAACTGCCTGATGATGTCAAAGCAACTGCTTCAGGGCAAAACTGAGCCTGCATTTTAATTGGCATCGCTGCTGTTTTGGCACAGAAGCAGGAAAGATCATACGGCTTACCAGTTCTTTTGTTTTACCAGATGGGTCACTATAGCCTAGTTTTCCCACATTTGCTCCTTAAAAGGAACCTGCCAGTCCTTGGCCATCCACGCTTTTGCCTTTTCCAAGTAAGGAGCACAAATCAACAGATGTGAACCTAAACTTTCTGTGGGAAAGCATCAAACATTCCTAAAGCAAACGAAGTTCTGCAACCTGTGGTTACTGAGCTACAAACAAATTAAGTGTAGTTACAGGCAGCTGTGGATGAAACAACCTAAGCTACAGACAAAAGTACATGACAGAACCTGAAAAATGCTCTTCAAAACCTTAACGAGTGAAATTTGCTGCAAAAACAGGAACACATTCAAGCAGCAAAACCCCACTGCACATTGGCATTACTTTAAAAGCAAGTTAATGACATTTCCAACCTAATTGCTGGAGGTGGAAATGCAGCTAATGGACATTCAAAAAGCTCAGTTATGTGTATGTAAGAAAGCCAGAAAGTAGAGTTCTGTGTTTTTACTTAAACTTCCCTTTGAAAATATTGCTCGGGAAAACGTCAACAACTCAGATATCTACTGTAATTGCAAGAATGAAACTTGACAAAGACCCTTCTCATAGAGGTACTTGACTGCTTTTAAAATCTCCTAACAGCTCTTAGTTGCCCATTTGCTAGAAAATTCTGGTTATTTGAAGCAAAATAGATATTCATCTTTCAAAGCGAGCAACTTCTCAAGACACAAAATATACATACAGAATAGACCCTACTGGGGTGCTGAAATGCCCTTAGAGCATCCATAATTAAATCAAAATGGAACTGAGAGAACTGTCTTCAAGTAAGGGCTTAATTAAGATCCGTTTCTCCAAGTAAGTAGTAGGAGAGCATAACTAATTATTTCTCACTTGCAATTAAGACTAAAGGAGAGGACTAGTTCAAATATTCACCAGTCTTGACGTTTTATAACAAGCTTCTTTAGGTGAAGTTTGGGGGCAGGTAATTTTGAGGTTTTGTTTAATGGTAGAAGCACAAGGGATTTTTTGTCAAGCACAAAAAGTGTTAAAAGAAAAAAAGGAATTTATCTTTTTCTTTCAAGATAGACATACGTTATTCTCCAAGAAAACCAGTGATGGAGATAGGCTTAGTTTGCTCTGGCAGCTTACATATCTCAGGTTTGGAAAGGAAAAGGGAAAGGACGGAATTACACCTCCCTAACAAATACAGCCATGCCAATAAAGCACCACTGCAGGGGCTGGACCAGCAGGACCGTGCAGTTCAGGAGATCTGGTTTAAGGTATTCCAGATATTAGCATTATATCTAATTAGCATTAACCAGCATATTATTGATATTTTCATATGCAAAAGAAAAGACCATATAATCTTACTGTTGTGCAGTGCAAAATAAAATAAGTCTGCTATCTTCTCCAAGATTACGTGATCATTTCTTGGGAGTTGTTTTTGAGAATTACATCAGGAGATCACACAAGCAAGCTATGCCTTGTACTAATTCTTTAGAGCTGAAACACAATAGTTAGAAAGGTACAGCATGGAGGAGGGATCCCAGATTACAGCGCAGTAATGACTCCAAAACAGCAGACAAAAACAGCCTCATCTGCTATTTCCCTGGAGGAAGGTTGTGTTTGCATACACACCAGTTTCTGTACATATACCCAGACGTGCCCACACAGACACCACACATTTGTATGTTGGTGCACAGTCCAAGGCAAATGAGAACAAATCTCCAAGCTATACTGGCTCCTGCCCAGCAATTAAACTGGCACTTACTGGCACAGATAGCCACACATCTTCAGAATGCTTTTATTCTGCAATGAGAAGCGTCAAACCAAAAGAGAAATCTCTAGGTAGCAGCAGCTATCTGATTGATAGCATTATTTCCTGTGCATCCTACAGCAGGGAACTGCTCTGGCAGTGGGTGAGACTGGGGGATCTCCAGAGGTCCTTTACAGTCCCTATGATCCTGTAATTATCAGAGCTCTTATCCTGACCGACCACAGCTAAACCAGGTGACTCACACATTTTATAGCTCTCCACAACAAACCCAGCTGATCAGAAGCTGAAAAGCTATGCAACTGGAGATAAAACTCATGTGAAACCAGCTGCATACACACAAATTATCTGCTGCCTTGACTCAAACGCAAAGGCTAGAAGTGAAATTTCCACCAGGGCATTGAATAGCATTTATTTCTTTGAATACTGGGTTATCTTCAGCGCATGACTAACTCAGCAAGGCCAGAGAGCAGGTGAAGGCCACATGCATCCTTTGACACACTTCCTGTTCTCTGAGACAATTCTTTTTAAGAGCTGGTGCCACCACGGGAAGGACACAAAGCTGCAGCAGTGTCTGGACACAGGGTGGCAGTCCTAAAGATTTGCATTTCCATGACTCCCAGTGCTATATTTTCAGTATTACCAAGGGAGCTTCTACTTTGTTTGAAACAAGTTCAGGGAAGGAAAAAGCATTGAGAACCATCAGAGACTGGAATGTGCAATACAAGACTAATCAAACTTAGTTACATGTTCATTCTTGAAGCTGATCTCTGCGTGTCATTATTCTGTGATCTCTGCCTTAAATAAAAACGTCCACTGAAGTATACAACAAAGGTTTTCCCACGGAGAAATCTGCCCCATATATCAGGACAAGGTGAATCAGAAGTTACTATTTCACAAGCTACCAAACTGCATGTGCATGTTTGTCTAAAAGCTTATTTGAAAATCCACCTCTTGCTCGTTTCAACAGTTACCCTGGATAGAAGATACAGATACACGAGAGCTCATATATACATAAATAGCACATAAAGAATAACAGAAAGGAAAAACTGACCACAAACCTCTTACAAGAAGCATGCAATTGTAACACATGCATCATCTTCCTTATTTGCTTTACTTTCTTTAAGGCAGCATCATTTTTTATCCACTTTTGGGTTCAAGACATTAAAATTGTCCTCTGCTTTTTTTCCCCCCAATTTGTCTAAGAGGACAAAAAGCATAAAATTTGCTTTTATGGCATTTCTCTCTACAGTGCTACTTTTGAGGGCCTTCAACATGACATACTGGCAACCCTATAGTGCTCATCTCCTGACTTTTGCAGTAAGTACACACATAACTGAATCCTTCAGATGCAGCTCAGCTCAGACTTGAAGTTCCCCTGTGACTATCACAATGACTTTCAACTCTGGTAACTACTAATCTCCCACAGTGTTAGCATGATGTTGCTTTTCTCTCAGAAGCTTTAAGAAGGAAGCAGCTTCATGAATTTCCTTAATTGTTCAACTCAAAACCACAAGGGTCTTTCCAAATTTCAGCTGGATCATGAATTTCTAGCAGCTGAGCTAGGCTCACCCTACAGAAACATTACTCAAAATACTTTAGACTTCTCAAATCGATTTGCACGACTGCTGACCCAGCATAACACACAGCAGATAAACACCAGCAATGGGCACAAAGTTTGAACACAACTCAAGTGGCCTCATGTTGTGCTTTGCAAGATGGTACAAACAGTGTTCACTGCAGGTAAGTCCAGAAGACAAGGAAGCCACGGTAAAAGAGTTAGAGAATCGCAGTTAGCCTGACAAGTGAGTGCATCCCTCCTACCCCTTAGCCTAACTGAAGTCACAAGTGAATTAGTAGCAAGTTATGCAGCTGCTGTGGTTTTTTGATTTGTACTATAGGAGATGACCTACATTTGGTGGCCTTCCACCGTCATGCAAGGGAAATATTTGGAAAATAAGCACAAAAGGCGTGGTTATAAAACAAGCTGGCGTTGAAAGCACATTCTTTAGAGTGTATTGATGGAAAAGCTCCCAGAAGCAGTAGGTGTAGGTATGCCACCTGGTATGCACATGTCATGCATCCCAAGAAGGGAGCAACGCCAGAGCCAACCCAGGATCTTTTTGGCTTTTACAGATGGCTGAAGAGCCAAGAAGCTCAGCCTACTGCATGCATTAAGGAGATTAGAAACAAATTAAGGTGACAGCTTAATTACAAACTTCAGTTTATTAATTGTAATTCATTGTCAGACTCATGCAAACATCAACAGCTTTCTTCCGCAAGCAGAGATGATGCTCAGCCAGAAGCTGGCCAATCCTACAACCAAGGTTAGCTTCACCTAAATTTTAAATAAAATCAGGGCACTTATTCATAGAATGGCTTGGAAGGGACCTTAAAGATCGTCTAGTTCCAATGCCCCACTGTTATAAGGCAAGTAACCTGAACTCTGGCAGGATTTCTGATGTTCCATCATGTCCACTTCCAGGTATCTGGCACCTTGAAAACCAAGGACACATTGCATCTAAATATAAATCAAGATATCCTTCCTGTCTGGGGCTGTATTTGGCAACAGCCACAAAACAGAGGTGTGGAAAGGAACCTGAACTCCCCATACTTAAGTTCTTTACTATGAGAGTGTAAGGTGCTGGAAAAGGCTGCCCAGAAAGGTTGTGTCCCTGGAGGCATTCAAGGCTAGGTCAGATGGGGCTGTGGGGAGCCTGGTCTAGTATTAAATGTGGAGGGAGGTTGGTGGCCTTGCCTGTGGCAGGGAGGTTGGAGATTCATGATCCTTGAGGTCCCTTCCAACCCGGGCCATTGTGTGATTCTGTGAAACTCTGTTATGTTTTATTGTTAGATTACACCAAGTCTGAGCAGAAGATAAAGCCAAACTTTAAATCCCCTTCACTACCCCAGCAGCAGGCACTGCAAGCTGACTCTGGAGACTGCAGCTAAAGATAAACTCTCAGTTCCTGCAGCGTCATACAGTCGTGCAAACGTGATTTACTTTGTTTAGTTAACAAAAAAAAAAAAACAAAAAACAAAAAACAACCAAGAAGTGTATTTACATCAAGTAGCTACTACTACTCCCCAGCACTGAGGATGCTGCAGGACAGGGTTGCTTACGGTTTGGCTGCCAGATGACGTGAACTGAGGGAGCCGGAGGAGGAGGCAGGCAGTCACAGCTGGGAGCAGCACCAGAGCTTTCTGCGGAAGGCAGCGGGATGGATGCCAAGAGATCAGGGAAGTTTTCAAAGAAATCCTTCACTGAAGCACTGTGTTGGAGCGATGAGGGAAACAGGAACGCTTCTGCGTTTTCAGGACTGAAAATCAGACAATCAAGGAATTTTGTAGAGGCTCCAATTAGACAAGTTTACTTACAGGGTGCAGCTACCCTTGGCCAGACACGCAACTCAACAGAAAAGCAAGGCAATTCCCAGTTAATTACAGAACAGCAGCTTTCTCCATTTTGCTCTTGGCTTTGGTTACGCCAGTCGTACCAAACTTCTGTACTGATTTTTTTGTCGCTACAGTATTAAAAAAACAAAAACCACACGGATTTCTCTTCCTGTGATCAGACACACCTGGTCTTCCATGCATTAGACAGAAGGCAGAACAATAGGCAGGTTCCTTTATACGAGCACTCACTCACCCAAGTCCCAAGCTGAGCTCTTTTTAACACCTGATGATTCTCAAAGTGAGATTTCCCCCTTTATATTCCAGCCTGCTCACCACAGCCATTCCCACCTGCTAATCAGCAGCATGAAGCCTGAGATACCACCTCTGAGAAGCTGTCAAATGGAGGGGTTAAAACCAATGACCAAATTACAAGTAATCAAAAGAGCAGCTACGTTCCAACTCCAAACTGTCTGTGAAGCTGCTCGATGTTGGACTTTGTGATCCTTTATGGGTTCCTTCCAACTTGGGGTATTCTAAGATTCTGTGTTTTCCCACACAGCAAGAAGATTCCTCCCCCGTCCAAAGGACTCATCAACAATCTCTCATCAGCAAGCCTAATAAAGCCCAGCAATCTCTTTGCATTACACAACACGAGTCCCATCTGCAGCCCCACAACTGCCTCAGCACTGACCACTGCTGTTACATCTCAAGATTGGTGCTGAGATACTGCGCCTGTGAAGTCCCTACCACAAAAACCAGTCCAGATACATAGGTGTGCCCAAAAGGCATTTTTTCAGCCTTACAGGGGATTTTGACCATTCCACAGACAAGGAAAAGGCTGCAAAACTCCCACACTTCATCTTCTGTTGTTACACATAAAAACTATCTCCTTGGTTTAGTCTTCAGTAGAGATTTCCTCAGGCTCTTTTGAAACAGAGCCTCTTTGGTCTGGAAAATCTTTGAATTTGTCCCAACCATGCGCCCACTGCGCCCTTCCCATTAAATGAAACAGCACTAAACTGCAGCAGGTAAGATTCCCCCCCCTCCAATCAAGAGCAACTACACCCACATTCAACCGAACGTGCTTTAAATTCACAAAGCACTTCCCCAAAAGACACCCCTTCCCAGAAAGTATGAAATACACTCAAACTTTCTACCATTTAACTTACAAAAAGCAAGACTGAAAGAGCACTTTAAGCCCCGAGCTCGTTTCTCATCCACTTCAAAGCACGCTGTCAAAGCACAAATGTATTCCCTCTTTGTAGGCACTAATGAATTTTTAAGTAGTTGGTATTTTGACTGAGGTCCAGAACAGTATGGCTGAGCTGACCAACGTTATTAGCGCATGCCTACACAACACTGAGCAGGAAAGTTATGCCCAGCTCAAACCTGCTGTTGATTTAAAGCATATTAGGTAAATCTCATTAACTTCCTATGCAAATGAGCTTGCTGAGAGGAGGACTTAAGTCCGAATGAATGAGATATTTAACAAAGGATCTTAAAGCTTTCAAAAACGATGCTTGGTTACTCTAATTATTATAGAGTTAACATAGCTGTGATTCTAAATGAAAATATCTGAAATATTTACCTTTCAAAGATGTATATGTGAATGTGAAGGTGTGCCTTTGGTCAGAAATCTGTCAAGCTTGCTTGCTTTTCACAGCATTTCTCCCCTTTTCTTGTTCTCACAGGCAATGGCTTTGTCAAATTTTGTTGAGGTACACATGTTGTTCTCCATAGGACACCTATTTGATGCCCACAATGGTGTGCATTAAGGTCCTATGGAAAGGGCACAAAAGGTGTGCCCAGAAGCCACAACACGTTTCAAAGAAATGCAAGCAAGATTTAAGAAATAGTTCTGCAGCTTGATCCGACACGACTGATAGCAAGTGACACTTGCAATGTTCTGTAGACAGTGACAGGATAAATAAAAATGAAATACTGTATCACTGTGCTTTATGAAACACATTTCTACTTTATAGCTTTATTTTTAGCCAAGCACACCTCCATCTCTGTTTATGGTATGCATTAACTTGATTTACGATAGCATGCAGCCCTTACAGTCTCCCTATGAAGCATTAATAATTGAAGAATTCAGATACCTCCACATTATTATGGATGTTAATACATAGTTCATTAAGCTCCTTTACAGCACTCAGACAGCAACCTGAGCACACACAGGCTCTTTTCTCAGCTTCCTTTGTACTTTCACTTGGCACTTTGATGAAAGCTATTTTTCTCCAAGACCTTAATCAAATTTACAAGAAAAAAAAGGTGAAGTTAGAGACTCATCTATGAAAAATTCCATTTATTAAGCAAACTAGGGTAACGTGTCAGCTTTCCCATCTCTGGGTATTAAGCTCCTTTCCAGAGGCTTCACCATTCCCAAGTCTACCTTTGAAACCGATATCCCTCACTGGAAAACAACTTCAGTCCAGTAAACAATATAAAATCAATAACTGGTCACACACTACCTGTAATGTACACATACACAGAGGTAAATAAACACTTCATCTGTTAGGCCTAACTTGAAATTAATTGAGCATTTCCCTTCTATTTAAGAGAACACAATAAAAGATCTGGAATTCAAGAAACTTTCAAAAACTAATCCAGATGATGCACTTCTGGGGTCAAACATTAAAACCTTCTCTTTAGGACAGAAATCTCGTTTATTTTCCACCCATTTAAAAATAAAAGGAATCCGAAGTTTACAGGTAAACAGAAACAAACAAACACTTTTGAATCTCTCTTGATGATGATAATTTGAAAATGAAAAAAAACAAAAAACTTGTGTATATTGAAACTTAAGCTACGGAAAACTTGAAGTGGTCAAGTTAAAATTATCTAATTTATAATAATGCCTACACTACAGCACTGAGCTTTTGTAATCATCCCTATGAACATCTGGACTCAGAGAAGCCCTCTTACCACCAGGCTCACTCCTGGAGATCGTCTCAGGCAGCTCCTCCACGGCGTCTCTTCCAGTTTGTGCTCAGAGTAACAGCCCAAGCTGCAAGCCACAGCCTGAAAGGATGCAGGCATCAGACTTTTATAATCTGGTTGTGCTCACGACATTGTATAACTGTACTTTGCCCAATCAACATCTCTGCACATTACACAATGCTGAAATGCAGGAAGACACCACACGGCCATAAATTGTTACTACATGCCTCCACCACAGTTACAAAAGTGAGGGAAGGGATAATATCCCTGAGTAACAGCAAAGAGCACATATAAGAACTGTACGTGGAGGTTTAAGAACTTTGCATAAACCGGACAGGGCCCTCAAAATCAAACTGCATAAATATTTACATGCCAGACTCCGGCAGCTGTAATCAGGATAGGGTATTTTCTCCTCCTGTCTCTGATGAACAAATTAGCATTTCCATAACCCTCAGTTGTGCAACTTGCAAGGAAATATTTTTATTAGCTATTAGCCAGCTTTCAACAGTTCCCAGATCCAAAAGCTCTGCTCCATAACACAAGGAGTAACAATCCAGTCTCAGCAAGAGCACAGAACGTACCCCACGCTGGGCTCCTTCACTTTATTGATGGAACAGCTGTATCACAGAGATGCTCAGAGCCTGAGATGGTAAGGGAGGAAGGAATAGGAGAGAGTTAAAACAACAAAACTCCATTAATTAATAATGTACAGTTTGTCCTTATCTCCCTGACTACCTCTATTTCTGGATGAGGATGGCACTCATCTTAAGGGTCCTTCCCCTGCAACCACATCCCCTTTGCTTGCTGTAAACACCATTCCCCACTCCCTGAAGTCTCCCACGCAGATGCACAGCATTACCAACCCTCCAGGAGGCACTTTATATTTGTCACGTCCTAAGTCCAAATCCTGTCCCTCTATGAAAGAAAAGTAGCAACCTCTCCATGAGTCTGCAGCATTAACAAGCTGCCATCACTTCTTCTACAGCCAACACCATAACCATTTAAACAGGCCTCCAGAAAGCAGCACTCAGCTGTGGGATGCTGCCCACGTTTTACCTGAAGTACACCTTTTGAACCCAAAGCTGAGCAGGCAAAGGCCGACGGCGCCATCTAGCTCCCTTCTCCTAAGGAGCAGAGCAAGCACTGTGCAATTAGCAAAGTTCGTCACAGAGCTTGCTTCATTGGAACATCAGCACAGCAGGCAGTGGCACGTGCTTGTTCTTCCATCATAGGATGAACCACTGAATAGGGCACAATTAATTGTTATTACGTGTTACTTTTTATTCATTGTTTATTAAGAATTCATTAAAGAAAGTCAATTGTATCCAACAATAATTTTGTGTAATATGCGTGTACATAAAAACACATTATTTTGCACTTAGTGTCCACTAGAAAGAGACGTTTAAAGGTTCCCTCCTCCATTTGCATACTTTCCAATTCTAAGCTTCTTTCCTGGCTCTTGGCTTCCAATTCCCAACATTTGTGCCAAAGTTGACCCACAAAACCCAAAACATTTGCTAAGTCCAATGAAGAGAAAGCTTCCAACACAAGCAGTCTCTAATGCAAGCATCCCCATATCTGATGTTTTAAGACCAGAAAACAACAGCTGTACAATAGATACACAGACAGCCTATGAGTTCGTTCATACTTTGGAGGAGTATGATGGAAGTTATTCCAGCTTCAAGACATTTGATGTGCTTACAGGAGCATGAGTTGGAATCTGTGATCCTTATTGGTCTCTTCCCATTATATTCTATGACTCTATTTAATGGCAAAAAAAAAAGAAGCAAGTTTTTGGAAAAACAAACAAGATATTTGCTTTTTGATTTTTTATGCCTAATGACTCCTAATCTCTAATGTCCACAATTATTTCTTTAAAATAGTTACATTAAAAAAATAAAACAACCAGGAACTCAAATGCTGCTTGCCCTGGATGTCAAAGTTCAAAGTATAATTGAGTTCAATGCCAGTAACACTGGTTAAGTATTCAATTAACCAAGACTTGCGTATTTACCTTACCATTAAGGCTAACCGGTTCAAAGTTCATCATCAGGTAGTGGACAATTTCATCATTACAAAGATTTGTTTCTGGTTACTTAGTATTTATACTCCATAATTTAGTTCAAACAAACCACCTGCTAATCCGGAGGCCTTCACTCCACGTCCAGCTTCCCCCATCCACTGGACAGGTCTAATTGCCCGTTGTTTGCATGCAATTGCTTGCAGTGAATAGGTACTTAATCACTGCTACACTTGAAATGAATGTTAATTCAAGATTTAATCTTACAGCTACGGTTTCAAGACAGCACAATATTATACACTGCATTTTCAAACACTGTAATAACGCAAAGGACGGACAGAAGGGAATGAAAAGCTGAGAACAGAAATGGGGGATTTTATGCCACAGCACAGCAGTCTTCATCTTCTGGATCAGCCTGGAACAGGAGGAACCTCCAAGATCTTTTCAGCTGCCCCACTAAGCCTGTTTTATGCAAGCGAGCAGTGTGTCAGAGGTGCGTTTTACTTACTGTAATTCAAACCCTCTGGGAAGCTTTATGTGTTGCTGCATTTTATTGATGGAAGTGAAATCACAGCTGACAATTTATCTTTCACTTCTCTATGCAGGAAGCAGACTGTCGTAACGATCCTGCATAACCAGTCATCATTTTTATGCCCTGCTTAATATTTGAAGCTTGAGCTGACAGAAGCACCTCTCCTGCTTGAGGATGTTACTCCTCAGAGAAGTTCACTTCTGATTATTATGATAAAATCAAATCTTGTGCCTCCTTCCCAGTTATACAGCGCTCAGTTTAAGCATGAAACAAATACTTCAGAGAGACATAGCTGAATTACAAATGCTTGCTGATAGACACACATTGGTGAGCTGACAATTTACAGGCAACATTCTGAGTCTGAAGTATTTATTTAGAAGATGATTTTGCAGCACTCAAGTTTAGGACAAAGTTCTTTCTCGAAAGCATCCATTTCTCCTGTACTGGAAAGTGACTCTTGTGTGCGAGGATGGAGCACTGTGGTGGACTCCTACAACTGAACTCAATAATAACATGACCCAGTGACCACAAGCACCTGGTAACCAAATCACTCCTTTGAACGTCCAGATACTGCCAGGTAATAACAAGAAAAACAAACAACATAAAAGGCAAATCTGATGCAATCACTGCAAAACTGTTAAAAAGAGGTTCTCTGCTCCACAACTTATTAAAACAAGGAAGAAAAAAAAAAAATACCCATTCCAGCAGAGCCGGTGCTGCACAATACTCATCTGTTGGATTGTACCCTTTGAAGAGCAACAGAACTGAGACATCACCTTTGCAAGAAAATCCATTTGAAAAAGGAGAGGGTGAGGTGAAGGATGTTACAGTAATGATGGCCAAATGATGGCTCAGCGAGTGTTCTTCCTACCAAAGTCCTAACAAATCTGCAGCCTTTAGCACCAGTGAACTCATAGAAGATGTAATTACATCACACCAACCGCATGACATATTATTAACACATCCATTTTCTATGTTTTTTTTTTTTCCTTTTTAAGCCCTGCATTACAGGCTGTTATTGTGTTTCCTACAGCTTTTCTTGCAATCACAATGTTTTTTAAATTCTAGGGTTTGAGAAGTCATTCAAGGCAGAACTATGGTTCAATCACACAAAAAATAATTATCAGATGGAAGTGCCTTTAAAAATGCCTAGGGTTGATTTTTGTCAAGTAAGAACAGACGAGGAGTGAAGACAAAGCCATTTACTGCAAACATGCTCCAAAAATTAATGACTAAGGAACATGCTTTCTGTGACCTGCTATTGTATTCATAGGTCCATAAACCAAACCAGCTACCCACATCTCTCCTGGACCCCCAGGCATGTTTGCAATTAGCAGCCCAAACTCAAATCACTTATCTTTGAGGACTGACAAGGGTAAAACCAGTTCAGTGGCCAATATAGCACCAATGGAAGCTTCTGGATGCCACCCTCACAGCATCATTACAAATTCTCAGATGCACAGGGAAGCACTGTCAACATCACCACGTGCTTAGAAGACAGCATCCTGCCCAACTCAATGTGCAGTAACTCAGCCAGAGAAACAACACACAACTAACACAACCAGCCCAGGTATCCAACAGGCCAAAACTTAATCCACCAATTGCAAGTGAAGACCAGTGATCAGCCCAGCAGCTCCAACCTGCCCAATGCTGCAGGCCACAAAATGGATATGCAAATCTATACAGTAAGCCTGGACCTGCAACATCTGTTGGCTCTTCCCACCTGTGGCATTATTTCGCTGTTACCATTTAGACAGCACACACACAGTTTATCTACTTTATTTTTTGACTGCAAGTAGTTTCAAAAGTGCATTCTACATCAGTTCAGAGAAAAAAATAGCAGACTGATGTGGTAACAGGCTATGCAAAGAACACGGAAAGTTCCATCCTTTAGCTGAAGTTGCAGTTATTTTCATTTTCTCAAGGCAAAACATGTTTATACAAAAAACATCCTTACAGCTTTGAATTCAATATGCTGTTTGCTCAGAGATCCACCTGCATAAAGAGTGACCAGGTGAGTTGAAATCTCCAGTTGCAAAATTAAATGTTGTAAAAGAGGGAGGGAAGCAGATAGCCACACTCTGTTCAGCAATCTTGGTTTCCCACTCACAGTTCAATAAGTAGAACGCAAATGCAGCTTCACAGCACTGCCCAACTGCTCAGGCAACCACAACTCCCCCTCCCACCAATCCCAGCCTCCTCCATCTGAAATGAAAAAGCCCTTTTAATCTTCAAAGCATGGCCACAAGTCAATCTCAAACTTAGCACACTTTTTAATTTTCTTTTTAATTATCCAGCTGGGAGAGTTATGCCCTCTTTGCTCAGTGACCTTTCATTCCTTCAGGATTATTTCAAGAAATCTTTCCTGGGAATGATCAGCAAATTTATACCACTTGCAGAGGAAATGTTTCCAAGCATACAAGCACTGAGAGGAGAGACAACAAGATTCTTTGTGTGCTTTTGTGCAGGCTGCTTTTACTGGGGTAACCCAGTCACTGGGGTAACCCAGCACAGCACACTCTGCTCTGC